ATATTCAAAATTGTGATTGTGATGGTCATGGGAACCAGAAGGGGGATAATTTTAACAGAGGTCCCATAGTTAAGGAAAAAGACATGAACTAATGGCCTAAATCTTCACCAAATTGTCCAATAGTTAAGGAAAAAGACATCAACTAGTTAAGGACCCAATTGTCCAATTTGTTATCATTTTTTTTTTCGCAAACTGGGCCATTTCATGAATATGGCTGGTAATTTTTGTGTTTCAACTTTCAAGAAGTGAACGTTTTTCACTGCCAATAGAAGTTATCTGCCCCTTTTACTAATACATTTCATTCATTCCTCTGCTTCATAGCTCTGTACTCACAATAAGAACAAATCTTACTCACAAAACCAATTAACACAAAGTTGGGATTTTTGCACCAATTTAGCCATAGATTGAAACAAGAAGTTAAAAAAAAAAAAAATCAATCTTTGAGCAAATAAACCAAAACCCATTAACAAACCCCCATAAAAAAATCAAACAAAAATCAAGAAAAAAACAAAAAAATACATTGATATTGAAGACTTCTATTAAGAAGAGCAGCCCATTTGTTTCCCCATCAATCAGTACAAATGTTCTCAAGAAAAAAGATGTCAACACTACAACATGTTTTTCTTTTTTTTCTCTAAAAACTTAACAAGTTAAGACATGAAAAAAATTGAGTTATAAAGTCTAATCTGATCATTTATTTCTTGAACACTAATGAACTATAGCATGCAATAAAACCATTAAGGCATAAAAAATAACTAAAATAACTACTGAACTTTTTATACTGAAGCTTCAAATACTACGAAAAATAACACATAATATCTTCAAGACACCAAAAAATCTGAGGTTCGAACAATTTATCCAAAAGAAGACAATAAACACATCAGTCATGATCCTCCCCTATTGAATCTTAACTACTGAACTTGTCAACAACCTCTAAGGCATAAAATGTGACTCATAACTTCTTAAAGTCAGCACAATTGAACACACACCCAAGAGCACCACAAACAATTTCAGAAACTCAACAAATTAAGGCCCAACTACAAAAACACAAGGTTCTTTCAACCTCAAATAAACTTCAAAGGAGCAAACTTACTATGACTCTAATTTCAGAAACAAATAAAACAGCACATACAACACATAACTGCCACTATAAACATGATAAGGCATGAGGCTGAACTAGGGCATATTAAAAACATGAGCATATTACAAAAACACATATTAAAATATAATGGTAGAGTAGATGAAAACATTTTTGAGATAAGACCCCTGTTTTCTCTCGTACCTCTCTCTTTGGTAACCACACAAACTATAATATCAGAAAAAATTGTACCATAACACACACATAACTGGGGGTTAAGGTGTTACCTTTACCGGAGAAAAGCTCAAACCTTTTTAGACTGGAGATAGAGGAGGTGTATTCATCAGAAAAAAAAATAAATAAAAAAATAAAAAAGGTAAACAACAGTAAACAATATCGAATTAATATTCAGACAAATTGACATATAGATTAATATGGCGATTAGGAGCTCACAGTTAGGCCCGATGGAAGATGCACGATTTCAATGGCGTCTTCGTGGCTACAGGAACTAGGGCAAAAAATGAACGATTTCAACATTCGTTCGACAAATCTTGCGAGAAATGGAAACAAATCGAAGGTAAAAAGTCAAGAATCGCGATTGTGGAGCTCACCTGTAGGTACCTAGGAAAATCCGAAGCTTCACCACCAAATCGCAACAATGGCGACGTTCTCTGCAGCTAGGGCAAAATGTCCGATTTTCTGCTTATATTAGGAGAAATCTGTAAATTCGTGAAAAATAAAGGGTATAATGGTCTTTTCACAGTGAACAGTAAGAGCACCCACAATGTTTTGGGTCTCTTTAAAAAAAATCATATGACATGTAGGATATAGACTTAGTCTCTAAAATAATGTCTTCCAATGCAATTAAAACTAGACCTAGTCTAGCTTATGTGGCAAAAAAAAAAGAAACCTAGTCCACACTTGGGTCTATTTTAGACCCAAGTGCAAACCCAAGTAGTCATCATTTATTCCTCATTTAATTTTTCTTTTAATAAATAAAATATATTAGAGCATTTTTATTGGTTGTCATGTATGCTAGACCTAGTATTTTATTTTTGCATTGAATAGCTTTTGAGTTTTTTTACTTGGGTTTGTCCATGTCATTTAGGACTTAAGTCTATTTATATGCCACATATGTAAAATTAGATCCAAAGTATTGTAGATGCTCTAAGGGCATGAATGGTATTAAATATGGAGGGATTATTTAGTCAGAGGGGGGAGGCGGGATTTTTTTATCGGAGAATGGCGGATGAGAGCGTGCCACATATGCGCCATGTCAGCCTAATCCCATCCCAAACGCGCGAAGTAAACATAAGATTACCGGGATTATTTTCCTTATCCTGTCCAAATCCCGCGAAGTAAACGACCCCAATGGATACGGATACCCGATGCCACTCTCTGTTTATCTTCTTGGGTTCCAAAAATAAACTGAAAGAAATTGTGACTGAGCTCTTTGACTTCAATTTGATGCTGAATTTGCCAAATCGCACTCATCGTCCTCCGAATCCCTAACAGGTTTGCCTTTCTATCCCCAATTATATTGCCGAAAAGGCTACGACTGCACTCCTCATCACTGAGCTGAATATCCGCATCTGATAAATCAATTAGCCCTGATTCTTTACCAGATAGCTCGATCTTCTGCAATTTCTCCCCTAATTCATCCGCCACTCCTCCAGAACTTGTTGCTGCCATCACGCACAAGCCCTCTGAATCGAACCCCTAAACCCTAAAAAAGCTTCACCCTACACCAACAGCAAGAATATAAAACGGCCAAAGCAGAAGAGGAGGACTACTCTAATACTAGAGAATAAAGCTCCCAAAGAAGAGAATTAAGCTCCCATGGAAGAGAATCGCACTCCCATAAGAGAGAATTTAAAACGGCGTGAAAATTGTTAGAGTTGGAATGGGAAAATTTGGTTCCTAACTCATCCTGGAGACGTATATAAATTGGGAAAAACCGAATACTGTGGCATCATTATTCATTCCGCTGCAACCCATCAAACAACTGAAAGAAAATTGGGGAACTAACTATCAGGTATTTGTGCTTAGTGTTTTGATATATGATTAATTTTTCTTTATTTATTCAACATAATCAATTCATCGTCTTTATGCACACAAATTTAATTCCTGATGAATTTTTTGCAATCGATTCTTACGGGGTTGTATTCAATTGCAACTTTTAGAGACTTTTTAAGACTTTTAGAATTCTGTTGTATTCAATTAGAACTTTAAAAGACTTCTAAAAAGTTTACATGTATTCAATTGAGACTTTTAATGACTTTTAATAAGTCTCTAAAAGTTTCAGGGTATTCAATTAAAACATTATGAGAGTCTTTATAAGTCACCCGATATTCAAAACAGAAAGACTTTGTGAGACTTTTTAAATTTTGAGACTTTTGGAGACTTTTGTAACAAAATTACAAAGGAAAAGTCTCAACAGAAATTTCATCAATATTGGTGAGATTTTGCTGGATTTATTTGACTCTTTTCACGATCTCTTTTTTTTTTTCTAACATGACTTTGTATCCCATATCATTTTCATGCTCTATTATTTTACTTATTTATTTTGATACCTTGTGTAAGGT